GGTTTCCCTAATTGTGTAAGTTATAAATAATAATAGTTAATTCATATTCACCTTCTAAGGCGTTTTGTGGTTTTTGTTAGAACCAGACTACTAGCTACATCATTAAATGGGAATATTCATTAACAAACAGCAAAATTAGATTGTAAAAACATTATAACAAAATGGTTACTAAGCTTTTACAAGTATTTGCTGGTGTGTCAGTAAAGCATAACCATTACTACATAGTTATTCTTTATTCACACATCAGCAGGTACTTGTATATAGCTTACTTGCGTAATAATATAAATATAGAGAAAAAAAATATTTATTTTAATGATTTTTTTAATTTAAACCAAGACTTTGTTACAGTAGGGTTGTGTACGAGTGTATTTTCCTTAGAATTATCAGTTTTAAGTCGATCTCAATAGGGATGACGACTATTTTTTGTTTGTCAAAAAATATTAAACACGTTTATTTTTTTTTGTAATCATTAAATTACGACGATACATTGAGTTAACATGTCACATGCGGTCGTTCTTTTAGGACATTTTGTACAAAACTATGACGAAGCGAGCGCCCACTCTTCAACTATAATGTCTGTTATCTAAGCTAGTTCTTGTTAAATTGAAGTAACATATATACGTATCTAATATTTTTCTATTATCTGACTGACGGACTAAACAGAACTTCTTTTTTCACCCACTCGTATTATGTTTAAATTATTGCACAAAATCAGATCGCATTCGGTCATAAAGCGTACCTCGAGTTCTCATAATCATTATAATTAGTATGTCTTATTAATTTCCAAATATATATTTTTAATCAGAATATAAGTTTTATTAGTTTAGCAGTTTATCAGAATCTATGTTACTAGCGTGCCGTACAGGATGATTAAAATATTTTTATGCTCGAATTTTTTTCCAGGACAAAATGGAAAATAAAATAGATTCATAATTATTGTTTAACCTATAAAACGGTTTTCAACTGCAAAAGCACTTTGGACACTAATTATTCACCCTCGTTTTATGTCGGTACATAAATTCGCAGGCGCAATTAACTTAAAAGCTATGTCGCAGCCCTTAAATAAGACCGCGACACACGTGCGCGCCGCCCCGCCTACGCTGAAACCGCAGTGTGTGCACCTACTTAATGTCATATTTTTTTAATCATTACTCTTTGCTTATTTATTATCAAAACAAGATTCAAATAAATCAAATCCAAATACTTAATTCCGCAATCGAACCCGGTACCTCAAAGATATTCGGCTACGGAGATCCATACCATTACTAACTTTACAGTACCGTGAAATAAAGATTTAAAATGTTTTTACGAATAATACATAGAAAGTGTCGAATATAAACTATAACAGTAAACGTAAATACTATAGTACGTATAAATGTTGTTGCGCACAAAAAGAAATAAAAATACAACAATATTAAGGAAAATCGTACCGAAATAATATTTAAAAAAGATTTTAATATACAAATATACTTTTAACCTGTGTTCAATCATGCCCCAGTTGAAAACAAGTCAAAACTTATACCAACTTCAATAAAAAATATATCGTAGTCAGTAATTTGTATGTTATCTTGTTATTGGAGCCTTTGAAAACTTTATTAAAGTTAAAAAGCTTTCGGTGCGTAAGTAAGAAATTAAAAATAAATCCACGTAAAAACTTTTAATAAAAGGGTTTATTTATGGCTTCCCACTAAAACATCAGCACATTAAAAACCGGAGACCACAAACAACCCTTTGAACGTCGTCAGCAGGGTATAAAGGGCGACATTTTTCAATAATTTTAAATCGCACGTCAATAACCTAAGCCCGTTCGAGTGAAATTTGACGCACCCCAAACTAGCCCCCTCCGCTTTGACAACTAAAACTGTCAACTGTCAAAAGCAGCGAAGACGGTTTAAACTATGCGTTCCATTTTCGAACGCTTTTCATGTTCAAATCTTTTGTTGGGGCCCCGTGGGCGTCCAATCTCTTATGTCGCGAGGTTCCTATTGTCGGCAATATGCACTGGGCCTTATTTAAAACTGTATTGATAAAGTTATGAGAGGAGAATCCCATTCAAAATTATACGGTCGTTTTATCGCAATAATTTCGTGTATTACAACACTCCTAAAAGTACCATTGTCCCCTTTTGTTTTAGTCTACTTTCAGTTTTCCTCCGTTGGCGAACAAAGACTAAGTAGCGAATTATATCACTTTAATATCGATATAAATATTACTTTTCTTATTGAACATTCAAGATTAACTTGCAAACGTCTAAAATCACGTTTATTTTTAAGATGTCTATATTATCCATTTTAAATTGAAAAGTTTTACTTCGTTTTATTATAACACGTACAACATCAATAATACTTTTCCTTAGCGTATATAAAATATGGCAAATAAATAAATTCATAAAAAGCGCACACAGCCTAAACACCGTTATAATAGTAGTAATGGGTTCCATTGTCGGTTTAAAAAAAAGAATATCTCTATGATTTACGTGTAGAAATTCTTATCTCCGATGGAGTTTTGGTTCCGTAGTCACAAGGTGCAGTCGTGACGAGGTACGGTTTTTGTCGTCCAAAAGAGGCGAGTGACCGTCGAGCCTCGTTGTGACTACGCTAGCGTACTCGCATGGATTAGTCATTTGATTTTGAAAAAAGACAGATATAGAAGAACATTTAATTTTTAAAAAGCAATTAAACTTAGTAAAGGAAAATGGAATAATTGTAACATTATTCTATGCTTGCGAATACAAAGATATAATTTATAGAATGAATATACGAGTATGTAGGTACTGAAATACTCTTTGATCAATTTGTGAATGTTTTGTTTGACTTTTAATCCTTCAATAGTCTTGTTATTTTGTTTAAATATGTTTGAAATCGAGTCAACTACATTTTTTATTAGCACTACAGGCTTAAACGTAGTTGCACTTCCTTATTCAAGTTTCTACAGCATTTATAAACATGTTTGTTTGAAAATAAAATCAGTAATCACAAGAATTGCTTTTGATTCCAGTGAGTTCAAACGGGGCATCACAATTGTGTAATCCCGTGTCTAAATCTGCTGACATCGACTGAATAGCCAATACAGTCCGGTGTAGCCGGAGCCATTGTGATTCATCTTATTTTTACAGAAATGCGTATCGGGATATCGGTAACGACAAGATTGGTTACGCGATATTACTGAATGACTTACGTATACTTACTAATGCCATTTTAGGTGATTTTAATACAAATAGTCTTATTACCAAATGGAGTTAATGTGTATTCAAATAGGTCTGGCCTGTGTATGAACTGTGAATTAGTACAAAGTAAATAAATGTTTCACTAAAATCATTATCGAACTTATCAGTTTCATTGTTATGGATTGCTTTATTGTTATCTATACATATTATAAAACTTCGTCTCCAGGGAAATGTTTAGTGTGATAAAATGAAGCTTGTACTACGTTAATCTAGGCTAAGAAATTTATCCTTATACCAAAGAACACGTACAAACTTTCGCAGTATGATAAAAAAAATCATCATGACATAGTAGCTTATCAGAAAGTTGGAGTTGTAAAGACAGACGTGAGGTATTATTGCAACAATATTACTTATATGACGCAGTAAAATTCTTTACAACCTATAAATGGCGGTTTGCTCGCTGACGGACGGTGCACTCATGTTTTGGGTTTATAAATGATTACGAGATAACATGTCTCGTAATCATTTATAGTTATGAATGAAATATATGCAGTGTGATTAAATTATACTAACAGTATTTTATGAGGAGGAGACTAGGGCGTTCGGTCTGCCACGTGGAGGCGGAGGTTAAACAACATACGTAAGGGCCAGATAGGATGGGTAACCAAGTTATAATCTCGAGTTCCTAAGTGCTTCGGGATGCACGTTAAGCCATCCCGGCTTCATCTGCGGCCGTTAAACTTCCACCAATCCGCACTGGGACCGTATGTTTATGCTCATCCTCATCATGCTCAGACGGCCTATATAAAATGAACGCTTTCAAATCTTCTGTTTCAAATCTTCAAATATTAGGTAAGCCCGGAAAATTAACTCGACCATAGTTATTCAATCCCATACACGGCTGGAGTTCAACAAAAACGACCGAGGTAAAACAAGAATCTATTGTTTTTCTGTCGAGAAAAACTGATATCGGTAGATTGCAGTCTAAAAAGTCCAACGTTAGCACCTACCGAATTGTCTTCGGCGTGACAATAGGAGATTGGTTCAGAATTAGCGAACGACAAAAGTGGCGTCCACAAAAAAAACTGTCGTCGCCATGCTGCCTTTTGTCCACGTAACTCGAGTCAAGTAACGAAAATAGAGCGAAACCATAGAGCGAGACCGACACGATGACATTTAGAAGTGGCTATGTTTGACTTGGCTCGCGCCATTTGATTGGAGACGCGTTTTTTCGTGACGATATTTTGTCATTTTAAAATATGATAATATGAAATAATTGCAACTCTTAATACGAACGAAATACTAAAATTCAATTGAGGAACTGGCATTTTAGACTAACTTACTGTAGTAGGTATATTATTGGATGTATTCTACTCTTTATTTACTATTTATTCATTTTATGGACTACATAAATGTTTATCTTTTACTTTATTAATCATCGAAGTTACTTTATTAATATGACGTAGCTCATGTCTAACGTACAAGCTGGTCGTCGTAACGTCCAAGGTTATACAATCTTTCAAATTTGCCCACTTGATTATACCATATTTTTTGGGGTAGAGTTTAAAAACACTATAAAAATGAATACACTGTGGTAACCTAACACGCAGCCGTGTGTGCCTAATCCCGTAACACTTGGGAACTCGACACTCATGGTTCTTTTAATGTCTAATATGTAGATAAAAAAAGAGTAACGTACAACAAAGAATACAATATAAAATAGTGGAGATAAAATTTCCTGTAAATTAAAAAAAAAAGCGGAATAGTATTTTAGATACCTTATAACATTCTTTTTATTTTAATATATATTTAAAAAAATGAAATCAAAACTCACCAGCTCTCAATGCATCCATAGGTACGCTCGGGTATGGTATTGAGTAGGGGTAGCCCTCTTTCCTGAGGGTCTTGGGCTTCCTCCGCGGTCGGTATTTGTAGTCGGGATGCTCCTTCATGTGCATCGCCCGCAGCCTCTTCGCTTCGTCTATGAACGGCCTCTTTTCATCTTCTGTTAGAAGTTTCCATTCTGCACCTTGATCGAGATTATAAATGTTAATTTAAAATGATAAATTCTGATTTTAATTAAAAACAAAAGTCAATTGAGTAGACATATCTTTAAGTAGAGCATAAGTCCAAATAAGGATTGAACTATATTTTGCAGTGCGGTACCGCTTTTTTCAAACGTTAAACTACAAACAGATTTAGTTTATCCCTAAACCTAAGTTGTACGAAGAAATATATGTGGTTTTTTAATTAAAACAGGCTTTAAATATATATATAAAGTTCAACGTCAAGTATTAAAAAAAATGATATATCATACGATCTTTTATTCGTTCATTTTTAAAAGTACTTATAATAAAATATTGTTAAACTTAATTTACTCTTTGCTCGATATGTAAAACTATCTAAAAACCATCTCAGTTATAATGTCTATGAAAGCGGTCCAAATCTGGTCGTGTATTAATGACGCACGACTTAAGAATAAAAACAAGACGTGTCATTATTCTTCGACAAAGTCACAACAGACGATACTTGGTATCCTATCATAAACCATTATAACTACAGAAACAAAAACAGAAAAGTAATTTGCTCTAACCATCCCTCATTGCATAGACAATGGCATTCAATCGATACAATATAATCGAAGGCACGAACGACCTGTCTCCCAGCTCGATTCAAAAGACCAACCCTTTGTCTCCCTACATTTATAGAAGGCTGCGTTGATACCGTGGAGGGGCACCAACGTCCATTCAAACAGACAAGACAATACCGATTCAGGCGGGCATAAAAGCGAAAACAATGTCTCCAGCATAGAAAGGAACAATCCGGCTCGGAGGACCATCCTCCGTCCTATTCCCGCTCAAACAGATTCTAATAGAAGCGATAAAGACGGCAACAACAATGGCGGAAGGCACCGCCTAATGACGAATTTGCGCTTTTCATTCCACAACAGAAGTTTTTCCCGGTTTCTCATTATTCTGTCGATACTTCGGGGAGGGTATTCTCGCTTTGTCGAGACGATAAGCATCTTGTATTCGCTGACAAAGATAAGAATGTGTCGAAGGTGGTGCGAGCGATATTTATTTATCGCGGAATGAAGTTCTTTGGTAATTTCCTTGCAAGATTCGAATATACGTTTTCATACCGTTATTACAAAACATTTACATGGAGCACTTTATTTTATTTTATGGCTATCGTAGAACTTGTGTACACCTGCAGACGATAATTTTTCACTTTCAAACCATCTCATTTATAGCATTTTATGTTAAAGCATAACATTAATTGAATTCATTTTATTGTCACGACTTTACCACCACCGGTGGTGGCATTCAAAATAAACGTTTTTACTAATTTAAGATAGTATTCATTATAATTAATCTTCATATGAACATAATGTTCAAATTCAAAAATTATATCAATGTCTTGTTTACTAGCGGGGTTTCAATGCATCTATTATATTGAATCTCAATAAGCTTAGTAAAATACGGAAAATGACATTCTTACTTTTCATTGACATAACATCTACATCTACATTTTGTACACAGTACACAGAAACACGTCAAATTACACCGAAATGCTTAGAAAATCCACTTTGCCCAGATGTACTCTGAGATGGGACTCGAGCCCACGACCTTTCGTAATCCGGGCGACTGCTCTTACTACTGAACTACTCATGATTTGATTGATTAGTATAAATAAAATAAAAAAAATATATAAATGCTATTTTTTCTATTAATGTGGATAAGAAGGTATCAAATAAATCAAAGACAATGCAGTTAGGTAGGCCTGCTGGAGTTCATATCAAGGAAGTTACACGGAAGACCCGTTGATGTGTGGTCGATTGTATTTCATGATTTACATCAAAAAGACACCATAAAACAAACAACTTTACAACAATACGACGGCGACAAAGGTTTTGCTAATTATCCTCCTGCCTTCAAAGATGGCATGGCTGTCACTTGTCATTTCAAAGCCTTGATGCCTTGTATGCCATTGTGAGTCTTCTGTTTTGTCTTTCCAATGTTTTATGTGAGCTGGCGTCGTGAAAGCGTCTTGTCTGATACACTGTTTGAAGCAAAGGAAAATCGAAGGTAAGTCTTTACCTATACAAGTTCATTGAACATTCTTATATCACCTTACTTAAAATACATTATGGATATTGAATTGAAAAATAATTTCAAAAACAAAAACCTGCTTAATTACAGTCTAAAAAGATTTAAACAATACATTTATTTTATAGCGATATATAATAGAAATTACCAAAGGCCAGCAGAGTAGGCGTATGCCATTGAACATAACAAAACAAAATGTCGTGGCACACGACTACGACTTATTAAATAATAAAAAACGACTCTTGAAGAACTTAGAGCGTAATTAATTAAAAATATTACACTTTTGTATAAGACAGTAATTTACTACTATAGTATGTATAATATCAATGACGATATTGGTCTAATAGACTCTCTTTCTACATCAAATCAAATGAGTTTCAGCCAATGATCCGACTTACGAATGACGATGATAAAATCTAAACTAATATTATAAAGCTGAAGAGTTTGTTTGTTTCAACGCGCTGATCTCAGGAACTACTGGTTCGAATTGAAAAATTATTTTTGTGTTAAATAGACCATTTATCGAGGAAGGCTTTAGGCTATATAACATCACGCTGCAACTATAAGAAGCGAAGAAATAATGGAAATCGCGGACAAAGTCGCTGGCGGCCACTAGTTTAAAATATATAGGATTAACTATAACGAACATAGAAGCATAACACGTTACAATAAACTAATGACATTTAAAAGCTATTGTTTACTATGTCACCTGTTGCACGAGCAATGTCGCGAGACATTTTTCTGCATCTATTGTCCTCAGAGACAATGTCGCGACTAATTGTGATGTAAATCATTGAATGACATTGATATAAATAATACATTTGATCTCATTGTTTGAATGAACCGTGGCTAATAATGTAGAGCAGTTACCAGAATAAGCATTTAGCATGTAGTGTAGTGAAAGAAGTCTTGTTTTTGTAAGCCTGGATGGTTTGTTTGAATAGTCCTTTGTTTCTACTGTTAATAACAAAGGCTAATCCCAGCTCGGTGTAACAGGGACAAAGCGGATTTTTCATTCAGAATATTCAAAAAATGGTTTTCAATCCAAGTAAATGTTATCTTATACATATATGTATGTTCGACAATGTCTCCATCAAAAGCGATCTAAACTTTTTTGTTTGATAGTGTATATATCAATGAGGTCTGTTAACATGATGATTGGATTAAATCTGAAGAATTAGTAATTTCATCATGTGTCATATAAATCTATGGCAATTCGGATTCGGTACTATCCTAGTACGAAACAAGAAAAAAAATCACACCAATGACTCACGTAAAATAAATAAATTAAGCCTTTTTCATAATTAACAAGACATAATTTAATTACAAAATATACACACAACTCAACAAACGAATAGGGATGATGACTGGGTAAAAAAATGCAATTCTATTTAGTCCGACAGTCAGATAATAGAAAAATATTAGATACGTATTTTTTTTTACTTCAATTTAACAAGAAATAGTATAGATAACAGGCATTAAAGTTGAAGAGTGGGGGCTCGCTACGTCACAGTTGAGTAGAAAACATCCTCTAACGTGACGGCATGCGAAATTTCAACTCAATATAAAGCCGTAATTTTATGATTACGAAAAAAATAAAAAAATACGTGTTTAATATTTATTAGCACTCTACCTGACGGACAAACAAACAAAAATTAGTCATCATCCCTATTAGAAAGAACTTTCTTCTATAAATATCATTAAACAGTACTCAGTATCCCCCAAGTAAAAAAAAACAAAGTAAGTTTTTAATTAAAGCCGCCATTAGCAATTGAAATCAAAAGACACGTGTCGCCACAACAAAGTGTTGCCACTCTACAGTAATTATTTCCTGCGTTCCTGGGGACAACGGTTGGCAACACCGCTCAATGATCGGACACCCGCAGTTACGAAAGTAGGCATTTAATAACTGAGTTTTTAGAGAGAATAGTAAGTCATATTATTTAACTGAAAAATTATAAGTATTAGTGAATGTATGGCAAGGTTGTATTGAGTTCAAATTCTTTATTCTTTTGCCAATTAAAACATATATTCTTTTAATCCGTTCAATAGTAGCCTATCCAATGCAAAAAAATCTCAAGGTTTTCTTTTTTATAATTTGAGTACAGAATACCTAAATAACTAAAATTTTATTTTTTACTTTGCTGATTATTAAAAGAGGTAAAATTTTTATACCATTGATAAAAGAAGAATTATCTTAATAAAAATTAGGAGATCAAAAGCACATTAGTTATTATCTTTTGACCAAAAATTTACTATATCAACCACCGTACTTCTGCAGATATGACAACGTCAGCATCTGATACCAACCACAATGAGCTAGCCCGGTGTGGTGTGTTGCTTCTATATTATTATTTCAATAGGGAATCCTAATTTCCTAGCAGCCTAGATGTGAAGAGGCTAATGAACAGTATTAAATCTTCAGCTTGAAACTAATATAAGATGGTTTTATGTCATCTATAAAAGATAAAGACTACTCTGCACTCTCATAGCAGAACAGAGCTATCAGGAGCACCCCCTACGACTGTATATTAAGTACAATGTCGTCAACAATCGTTGAAACAAAACAAAAAACGGTAACGTTACGTACACACGTTAGGCACAATACGGCAACATAACAAAGGACTTTCCTCTCTGTACGTCGTATTAAAGCGGCCATTGTGTACGGAATCGGACGAAAATGCTCTTCATTACTCTGAAAGCTTGTGTGCTATGCGACAATGGTGGAAAAGGGAGTGGGGGGCAGCGGCAGGGGTGGGGAGGGGAGTTACACAAAGACGCATAGCGAAGGAGCGCCCGCCACCCTTTCGTCCGGAAAATTGAAATGGTAAGAAACTTTATTTAGGTCACAATTTTATTAAGCGCTAATAGATTTTGCTTTCGCTTTGGTAATGCCGATGATGCTCTTTTGTTGTGTTGA